CAGCGGAGGGCTACAAAGATGATTAGAGGGCTGGAGCACCTCTCCTCTGAAGAAAGGCTGCGAGAGCTGGGCCTGTTCAGCCTGGAGAAGAGAAGATTGAGAGGGGATCTCATCAACGTGTATAAGTATCTGAAGGGGGAGTGTCAAGAGGATGATTTTTTCTCCCCTCCCCTTTAATTGGCTTTCCTAAATGAGAACTTAGACAAAAAAACTGAACCACAGGAAGTTCCATCTGAACCTGAGAAAAAACTTCTTCACTGTGAGGGTGACAGAGCATTGGAACAGGTTGCCCAGAGAGGTAGTGGAGTCTCCTTCCCTGGAGATATTCAAAACCTGTCTGGATGTGATCCTGGGCAATATGCTCTAGAGGTCCCTGCTTGAACAGGGAGGTTGGACTAGATGATCTCCAGAGGTCCCTTCCAACCTAAACCATTCTGTGTCTGTGTGTGAAGAATAAGGCATATTTGTATGATGGTGAGTAGAGCAGCAGGGGCCCAAAGGGAGGGCTGATACCCTGCTCCTCCCAGTGCATGCCACATGGCAACAGGCTGGTCTGAGCCTTCCCCTGCCTTCAAGGTAGGGGAAAGAAATACAGTTGCTTCAGAAGCAGCAACCCCACCAGCGAATGCCTCCCCACTGTCTTCAGGGCATTGTCTTGGAGAACTCTGGAATGAGACAAAACAGGCATTCACTGCTACACCAGCTGCCCTGCAGGAGGGAACAGGATTTTCAGGGGAATATATTCTGCAATAGCTTTACTAAAATGTCTCTTTGTTTCCCTGAGTCACCACAGGGACCTATACTACTCATCTCAAGACTGGACAATTGTTTCTGTATTGCTGAAACTCTAACTGTAGCCTGATCATTGATTAAACAGGAATAGGGATGGTCCTGTAGGATGGAAACCACTAGCCTTTCCCAAGAGGGGCAGTGCTCATGGCATCTCTTGGTGTCCCATGAAGCACAGGGAATTCATGCCCCTCCTTGCTGAGCAGCTCAGCTTTGAATTCAAATGGAAACAGCTTATGTGAGTGCTAGTGTTCCTCATATTCTTGGCTCAAAACCTAGACTAGGTGGATGGAAAACATCTGAATTCCGAACATTTCAAATGTTAGGGAATACTTACAGGTACTCAGCCCACAGGTATTCCCTCCACATTGGTTTGTCAATGGAAGAAATAGCGTTGCCAGTGAAATCTCTGCAAAGAAATGATTGGCACATCATAATCGTTGTTAGTGTGCTGTATATAAAAGATCTGCAAAAAAACTACTTGCAAAATATACTGCGCATGCGTTGTGTTTCTTGGTGCCAGAGCTGTTCATTCCCCATAGTATAATTCCCAGGGATTTCAATCAAGCATTTGCAATGTTGTATACAAAGTCCTCTTTTCCATCCCACAAAACCTACCGCTTCCTTGGGAAACAGAGGGGTCCTGGAGGGTTAGATCTGGAACAGCACGCTCAGAAAAACCTATTTCCTTGCAAATTTGGCAATTAAGGTAGAGCAAAATTTGCCTAGACATGTAACAGCATAGCTAGCCCAGCTTCAGCCCCCCTGTGGTGCAGCGCGAGCCCTCAAAAACCACTGACTGCTCCTGCCAGTGAATCACTCCCGGACGTCCTCTTCCCCGGGTGCTTAGGTGTCTGTGGTGGGTCCTGTGGCTACACAGGTTTTGGCAAGTGGCTCACGGGGCCAGGAGCACTTGCTGTCCTGCGTGAGGTCTATTTACCAGGCAGCGCTCACAAGGAATAAAAAACTGAGAAGGGCAAGAGGGCTGAGGGGACTGGCACAGATGCCAGAGGCACGTCACTTAGAGCAGCATTTCAAACCTGGATGTCCGGAGGGGGTTAAGCATTTGCATAGAGAGGTAAATAAAGCAATCTGCCTTCCCAAGGGCCTGTTTGCTGTCAGCTTCAGCAGCCTGTGGGGATCAGGCAGCTGCCCTTAACGCAGAAACGGGGAAGATAGCTGCATTCAGTCCGGTGAATCCATCTCCATCTCCGCTACCTGCCTTGGCCTCCATTTCCAGGCCACGGAGACAAACACACGGGTCCAGGTGTTGCACATGTCAGCCCATGTCAACACCCGGACCCACCAGAGCAACCTGGCCCCGCACACACCTATTCCCTCGCTGCTCAGACAGGGCAGCTGGGGACTGGAAATGCTACAATTCAGGTGAGAAACTCCCCCTGGGGAAGGCAGGTTTGGGCCACAACTGCCTGGGCGAGGGAAGGACGTGGATGACGCTCTCCCAGGCAGCTTGGCGCAGCCTCCTGCTCTCAGTAAACAGCACGGCAGCCATTTTCCCCTGCCTCTTCCTGCGCAGGAAGGCAGTTTGAGGCCGGGAGTCAGGGAATGCTTGTCCCTGGGGGCTGTCCCCAGAGCATTACAAATCCCCATTGCCGTGGATGCTACTCACAGGACAGAGAGGGCCAGGCGGCCAGCTGCCTGGGGGACACCGGAGAGGGCGGCGTGGCTGCAGTTGAGCAGCTGCCCGTGGCAGCGGCAGGGCACTGGGCAGGCGGTGCCGGGCCACTCCAGGGAAGGGGTTGCTGCTGCTGTCACCAGCAGTGCCAGGAGGACGAGGGGGCGGCGAGGCTGGGCGAGGCCCATGGTGTGTGTGGGGCCTATGGTGTTGCCAGGCAACCAGGTGCCCAAGGCGGTGGGCCCTGAGGCTGCAGGTAGGCCTCGCTGCCCTCCTCGCTTCAAATCCTTCAGATCATGCTCCTCTCCCCCCCGCTCTTTACTGCCCCTAAAAATTAACAGGCCAAGACTGATTTACATGTATATTTGCTCTCGAGGACTGCGTCCAACTGTGCAGCTCCGGGAAAGCCCAGCTGCCCTTGCAATGGGTGACTGAATGGAGGTTGCCTGCTCTGGAAGGGGACTGCTCCCACCCTGGCAGCAGGGCTTCTGCCAGCTCCCTGGTCGAAAGGTATTAAACGTGCCTTAATGCAGACAGGCCACAGGGAGCAACGGAGCTTTGACTTCATGCCAGCGACCACTATTTCCAACATGAATAATAGGAAAGGGGAAGCTTGGCAAATTGTAGCCAAGCTCCAGTGTTTCATTTTTTAAACACAACTGATTTATCTGAACTTGCCATGACAGAGGATTCACCACATCCCTTGAAGGTCTGTTCCAGGGCTTAATTATTTCCCCCTGTAAAACACCGCATCTTACTTTCCCCACTTGAATTCCTCTGACTTCGGCCATCAGCCACTGGATCTTGTTTCTGCTTTGTGCCTTCCAGGTTAAAAAGCTCATCGAGCATCAGGTGTCTTCTCCTTGCAGAGCTGCTGTTGTGTCCTGGATCATGTCACCCCTTCTTCTTGTTGTTAAATTAAATATGCTACACTCCTGACATCTCTCATTTCCAGGTTTGCGCTCCAGGTCTCCAATCACCCATGTGGCTCTTCCCTGAGCTCTCCCATGTCTCAGTCACCTTCTTCCAACCACAGAGATTAAAAAAAAAAAAAAAAAAAACCCTGAGCAGGGGTTCGCTACCAAAATGAGAATTATCTTCCCCAACACATACCCTTGTGATTTGCAGACCTTGATGTACCTTCCCATTCAATATCCTGCCTCCGAGGTTCATTTATCACATGAACAGCTACAAAGTATGATTTTACTTAATTTAATGAAAAACATAGGCACTCAGTTTTAAAAAGAACCTGTGCTTTACATCATGATAATGTCCCAGCTACTTGGTTCAATAGATCAACACAGGACTTGGGGAAAAAAAAAAAGAAATTTCACCTACAAAAATACATTTTTCTGTGCCTGTGCGCACATGTATAAGTCCTATAGCTACTCCTGCTGGTAAGACAGCACCTCGGATGCTCTCTTGCAGATCAGAACTAACCTGCACTGTAGCTCTTCCAGGAAGAGCCTGTTCACTTTATTTTTAAGTGCTATGCACATCTGGTATGCTGTCTAAATAATAATCATACAGCTAAGCTGATTTCCATATATAGCTGACCTGGATAAGTTGACAGGAAAACACTTTTCTTCTCTGAAAACAATATACATTTTGGGGTTAATTTTAGTAACACTAGGTTTATCGCCCACTTCTTTCACTGTTACATATTTAGAGAAAAAGAAAACGTTAGATATGAGGCGCATGTCATTTCACAACTTTAGACTTTCATTCTCAATCAGATACTGCAGCACTTTTGGAAAATATCTAAAGACCGGGCCGCACTAATTAGACAGCACCTCCTGATGACGGAGCTTATCATCAAAACTGAGATCAGACAAAACTTCTTCTTCTTCTTCAAAGTAAAACTGTTCCAAGGACAATTCATTGACCTGAGAAGAGAAATCAAGAGTGAATTTGTTTCTCTGCCACATGTATTAGCTTCTTCTCTCTGCACCTGGCAACAAAATGTATTTTTACCATGTACAAGAGACATTTCCAATGGAATCTACAAACTCAGGAACATTTCTATTTCAGAATGACTGATCAAAAATCACAAGACAATGAAAAGTACACCCACCAATTCTCCTCCCAAGAAAGTTGTCCTGAATTCCTATCTGTTAGCGAGCCGCATCAGGCTGGTACGTGTCTTGTGGAGGGAGCACCAAATCAACTCCCGCACACCATCACTAGGAAAGTGAGACTGCAGGGGAAGTGAGGGACAACTTTTTTGTAAAACAGAATTTTGAGAAGCAGCAGACTTTCTGCCTGACTTTGCTGCACACTTCTCTAATGGCCATTAAATGTTAGGTCACTTCTCCAGGAGTTTAAATAAAGTTAGATAAACAGGGTAGTGCAGAAAAAAAATGCACAGATAGAACAAAACAGCAGAAATTTCTTCTTCCCAGCCGATATATTTGATGGATTTTAGTTACTTTACACATAAAAATAGCTCATATTTTACTGCTACTCTGCAGTAAGAAAGGAAGATAGTTCTGTCCACAGACAGCAGGTGACTCAATGTCATCAAATGGAGTAACATGTCATAAGGTTCATTAGACATTTCCTTAATGCAAATTGTAGGAGGAGTTGGACACTGCACTGTGCATTGCTGACACATCATGTGAGACTGATGCTTGCTTTCAAAAGAGCACCATATCAATGACCTTCCCTGATAAATAACTGTTTTCAAACTAAGCAAGACGAAAATCCCCTGCTCAGGACTTGCTGTACACAAAGGCTAGCATTCAGAACTCCATCTCGTTGAGCATGATGACAGAAGTTTTATTATTGTACCTGCATATTTTTGTTCTTTGCATGCTAACAGATCCCACAATTACCTGCTGGGATTTCACACAGCCTTTTAACAATCCTTTCCACTTCAGTAAGAATGAATTTATGAAACTCATTTCTAGATGGGGAGCACACCAGAAGGGGAGCACACCAGAAGACTGTGCTGCCATTCAGAGGCACCTGGACAGGCTGGAGAGGTGGCCAGAGAGGAACCTCATGAAGTTCAACAAAGGCAAGTGCAAGGTCCTGCACCTAGGCAGGAATAATCCCAGGCACCAGTACAGGCTGGGGGTTGACCTGCTGCAAAGTAGCTCTGCCAAGAAGGACCTGGGAGTGCTGGTGGACAACAAGTTAAGCATGAGCCAGCAGTGTGCCCTTGTGGCCAAGAAGGCCAATGGTATCCGGGGGTGCATTAGGCAGAGTGTTGCCAGCAGGTCAAGGGAGGTGATCCTGCCCCTCTCCTCAGCCCTGGGGAGGCCTCCCCTGGAGTACTGTGTCCAATTCTGGGCTCCCCAGGACAAGAGAGACATGGCACTACTGGAGAGAGTCCAGCGGAGGGCTACAAAGATGATTAGAGGGCTGGAGCATCTCTTCTCTGAAGAAAGGCTGCGAGAGCTGGGCCTGTTCAGCCTGGAGAAGAGAAGACTGAGAGGGGATCTCATCAACGTGTATAAGTATCTGAAGGGGGAGTGTCAAGGGGATGAGGCCAGCCTCTTCTCCGTGGTGCCCAGCGACATTGGAACAGGTTGCCCAGAGAGGTAGTGGAGTCTCCTTCCCTGGAGATATTCAAAACCTGTCTGGATGTGATCCTGGGCAATATGCTCTAGAGGCCCCTGCTTGAGCAGGGGGGTTGGACTAGATGATCTCCAGAGGTCCCTTCCAACCTAAACCATTCTGTGATTCTGTGAGTTTCATTTAAGAACTTATTAAAAGTCATTTGCTTTAACTTACTGTAACTTTGCTGGGATTTTCACTCTCACAGATTCTATGAAAAAGCAGGTCTGGACACTGTCATGTGCTAGACTTGTCAGCCCACATCATCCAACTGCTCATTTTCCTGTGCTATTTAAAATATACACACATTTCTGCATAAAGATGCCTGAGAAGTTAAGAGTTTTAAAATCTTAGCATGCTATACAATTCCAAGATGTGATTACTTTCTGGACTTCAAGTTTAGGTCATTGCACAGAAAGAAAAAGAGGATGTCAGAGGTTGTAATAGTAACAACCATCTCTCATCTCTAGATGTATCACACAGCTACTGTGCAAAAGCTATATACCCACTGGGTTTACCTGAATAAGCCCCTTCAGTTCCTCTTCTGTTAAAGAATCTGTGGGCTCCTCTTGGGTGGAGTTATACTCCACAGCCACTTTACCATTGTCTGAAACAAACACACAGAATAAACAGCCAGAGAGGCAGTTAGTTAAGACTGTGTGTAATAACAATAAACATACCCTAAACTCCTTCTTGGGATCTGACTGAGCAGGATGAGTCTACTTCATAACTGCATTCAGAGGGGCTGACTGGTTCTGAATAACTGTAGATGGAACAGGTCATTTTACTGTCCCATAGCAGACCATGGGGTTCTAGCTTATTTGTTCTCTTACATAATATAACCATTTTACTGTGAAACATTAAACTTTCCACAGTGGTTTAAGTAGTGCTTGCTGGCTGCAGTGTTACTACGGTTGTGGACAGAGCTCGTGACTCCTACTGTTGTGGCTGGGCACAGAAACAGAGAGCCTGATCTTGCTTCTACTGTCAAGCAAGCTTCAGCAGAAGCAGGATTGGGCTGTACCACTTCAAGGACTGTTCAAGTTCTGAAAGTGCCCAGGAAAGAAGGAACTGAAGGGTTAGCGATGTTAATTATGAGGCATGGAGAAGAAAACTGGTAGTTACCACATTATACAACTTAAAAGACATGCTGTGAATCCACAGAGCTGCCTCTTTCTCAGGCCTAGGTGCCTGTCTTCTCTGCAGAAAATCAAAAGGCTCTTACTAAATGGAGAGGAAATTGAAAGTGAGGAAGCAGAACTCAATGGAGAAGATGAAGCATGATAATTGCTGGTCTCTGTTATGTGATGGGCCAGAAGGCAGGAAGCACTGCAAAACATCCGAGTCCAGAGCTCCACCTTTCTAAATGACACCTTAAAGAATCCATGGGAAGAATCTGGCAGGTATTTAAATCCTGATGGATTCAACAGAGTTTAAGTTCCTGCTCAGATGCTTTGCTGTATCTGTGACTCAGCATGAAGTGGTGTTTACTGGGAAGGTCTCCTCTGTGTAAAATAAGGATAGCAGCACTGACCTGACCACACAAAGGTCTATCCTGATAAATGCATAAAAGACTGAAGTACTTAGACACTACACAAGTAGGAGTCATCTAAGAGCTCAGAAAGCACAACACCTAGAATCCACAGCAAGCAGATATAGCTATTTCTAGGTAGGCATAGAGCCAGTTTCTATAGTTACAAACTGCAGCAATAGTACCCCCAGAGATGCAACACTGCATACAACAGTGAGGCACGGACCTTTGACAGCAACTTCCTGGCCAGGAATCAGATAGGAACATGCAACATGCTGCAGTTCAGTTAATGTTACCCCTGGAACCAGAACGTGTTCACATCCTTATTCATCCTTATTCACTGTGCATTTACAGTGCTAATAAGCACTCCCTGTCAGGGTTTACCCTTTAGGCTTTTGCATTTTTTAAAACGAGTTTCAATGGTCTCTTTATCAAAAAAAAAAAAAAAAAAAAAAAAAGAAAGGAAAGAAAATCTGCCATACCAAGTCAAATCACTTTAGACCACATTCATTTTCATGAAAGCTTTAATGTTATCAGACCAAACACCCCAGCGTTTAATATAAGAATAGGCCTTACCTAAAACCACAAGGAGTATCTTCTGAAAAGCACTAGACAAAGCTTTCCCAACTGCAAGTTTCTGAACTCTTCTTGTAGCTGTGATAAACTCGAGAGGATCTAAACCCAAGGAGCAGTGGGTTATTGATATTAGGATGACACTCACCATATGAAAGCATACAAGCTGCCTTGTACTACAAAACATAACTGAAATTCATCTGGGAACTGAACACAGCATCAAGGATCTGATAAGAAAGCTGCTTATATTTTGCAAATAATTGGCAGGATGGCAGTGCCCTCAAAAGGGCTTTGTGTGCCAACCCAGGCAAAGTAGCACATCCTCAACCCTACCGTCCCTGCCAAAAGCAACAGGCAGTGGAGAGCCCAGCAGGCATCTGAGCTGTACCGCAGGCACAGGATCTCTTAGGAATCACACAGCATGTTCCCATCAGAAGTGGCTGCAATGGGGAATGAATAATCCTACAGCTGAGAGGAAGAGGAACAGAGGGTAAGAAAGCAATACTGGTAAGAAGCAGGGAAGGAAGAGGCATGCTTAGGATTTCTTGCTGTGAAGCACAGCAGCTCACGAGCTCGCAGATTCTTGACTCCAGCTAAACTCAGATACTACATCAGATTCACAAACTGTGCAAATGCAAGAATTACCAGTGTTTGACAACTGCCAGCAGAGACTTTCAGCTGCACCGAAGGCATACCTTCTCCATTTTCTATGTCTGACTCGCCAAGGCCGACTCCCCTGGTGTATACCCTATGGTTGGGCATTGCTACTTCTACGGCACACAGATATTTAAGGGATCGCTTCTGTAACGTCTTTCCCAGTTCCTTGTTCTCATCATCAAAGCCCGAAACATTCTGCAGCTGTTGGGAAGACCACAAAGGAATTACAATTAAATAGAAAAAGGATGTAGTGACCACCTAAGCCCACGCCTGCATAGCGCAGACCTTCTCGGCACAGCGTGCAACTCCAGGCCAGTAGCGCACAGCAGAGCCAGAGCAGGGATGTTCACTGTTTTGACTCTAATTCAGAAATGTCTCACGGTCCCCATCCTCTGTCAGTCAAGCCTGTAATCTTAGTCATCTCAGACACATTCAGCACATGAAGACTATTGCCAAGTTCTGGCACTGCTTTAAACATAGCCACATGAAAACCTTATCCTCCCATTTGTATAAACAGAAACCCAACCAGTGCCCTTGCCCACAACAATCTTCTCTCCTAAGGCTTTCAGAACACTCTCATTTGTGGTCCAAAACACAGCTCCTGTGGCTGTCTTCATTAGGGACAATGATTTGAGGGCAATTCTGTTCATTCCATCAACTACTCCAATTGAGAATATGAGACGAGGAAAAGGAGGAACAACTGATGCAAGTAAAGGGCCCCTTTACCATGATGATGCGGCTGGACCAGCCATTAAAGCCAAGGTAGTGGTTGGCCAATTCCTGGCACTTGTTGCTGTTAAGAGCAAGAACTTGCTGATGAAACACTTTCTGCTTGGTGCAAACACAAACCTGTCGAGGAAAGAACCACCACAATTATCCAGGCTTTGCTTCCAGGTTTCCCACTGCAGATACCCCATTGATGGCTCTGTTAGAGAAGTTTGTAAGGAATGCATTCACTAACCACACAGGTGTTTCTGACATGTGTCAAATATTTGTAACCCAAGAATGGACCCTACTTTGCACAAATGATTCCAGCAGAGGGATGCTGCCGTATTACTTCTTAAATGCTACCTGGGTGCTACTATTGCCAGCAGTGGGGGATGTCACAGGGTATGATGGTAGTGCCTAACAAGAAGTTAGCAAACTTTAATGCAAAAGCACAAGGACTGTCATTAAGGAGGTCAACAAATATTTCACATAACACTACTCTATTGCTGCCTAGAAGTTTCACACCTAGGGCCACTCTACTTACCTTCAAGGGAGATTTCTGAAACAGTCTTTGCCCGTTACACGCGTGCTGGGCTCTGCTGGCATCTCCAGCCGAATAAAACTTGACGACGGCATAATACCCAGGCCCTGCCACAGCGGCATTTCTGTGCGCTTGCACCGAGTAGAGTGGCCCAAATTTGGAAAACACTGAAAACAGGGAATGCTGAGGAAAAGCATGAGAAACAAAGGTGTGTTGAGGAACATCTGCTGCTACTCCTGAGTCTGAAAAACAGCCACAGACTGTGGCTACCCCTAAGCCTAATTAACTAGAAAACGAGGAATGTTTTAGTACTGTTCTTGCCACATAACAGCAGTAAGCCCTGCAATAATCAGCAAGACTGAAGATAACAGGAGTATGTGGCAGATAACATCTTTGCTTTCCATAAAAGTAAGTCCAGCCAGGCCAGGCCCCTTTCCCTGACACTCATTTCCAATACTATTCAGCCTCCAAATTGGGAGGAAAGACAGACGTGGGATTTTCCATCCCCTGAGTTATCCTCATCCCAGACTGCCTCTTACTCTCTGCTTTGCATGGATGCACTGTCCTGTTAAAGCTTCAGTACAGCATCAGCACCACATTTTGCAGAGAGACTAACGGGATTTTATTTCCGCTCGTCCACATTTTGCCTGTTTCCCAGTAGTTTCGCTTTGCAGACAAACGCCAGCGTTTCCCTATTTCCTCAAGCAGTGTTGGAGCATGCCGCGAGGCCCAGAAGCTGGGGGTGCCACCGGGGACGGTGCCGGCACCGCGAAACCGGCCATGTCCCAGAGCAGGGCCTGGGCCAGCGGTCATGCCGCAGCGGTCTGCCACCCCCTCGGGCCACGCTGGGCCCAGTGAAGCAATGAAACCGTAAAATAAGAACAACAACAACAACAACAAAAGCGTTATTATTAGCGCATGGGGAAGGCGACAGAAGAAAAAGCCAGTGCAGGCGGGGAGGAACCGGGACCTCAGCCCTGAGAGGCCGGGGCGGGGAAGGACTCGGCCCCGGCCCCGGCCCCGGCCCCGGCCCCG